AAGTCCCCTTTGAAAATTACAGAGGTGCCTGGCAGGAGTGGAGCATGTTATGAAAAGGTCCAGTGACAATGGGTTTGAATAGAATGTTGGCACTGCATACAGCTAATAATTTGATATGAAACATGATGCACTGTTTACAGCACATGTTGGTGTGATGGCTCATGGTAGCATTTTAAATTATGAATAATGAATGGCACGAGCTGTTCCACGTGTTCTTCTGCTCCTACCCTCCCAGGCTGTGGACACAAGGTGCTTGTTGGAGTCTGCCTTCTGTGTAGCAGTTAAGATGCCACTTCCTAGTTTGTGTCTGAAAGCCTTTAACATGCTTATTTGGCTACTGACAGACAGAGGGGGAATAACAGGCTTCACCTCTCAACCCTCTCTTAACCAAGTTAACTATTTTTGCCTTGTAACTTTTTTTTTTTTCCTTAGAACCAAACCAAAGTCAAGTCCCTGCTAAAGTAATACAAAATGGTGTTCAGTTCTAACTAAGCAATCTCTGGGCTTACTCATTCAGGAAGTTTAACCTGGACGATCTGCTGACCAATATCATGATCTACTGGGTGTCAGGCTGTATAGTCTCCTCAATGCGCTTCTACAAAGAAAATTTACAGAAGGGGATAGGCACACAGAAACATGAAAAGTAAGTGGGTTTTTTTCTTTAAATATTTTGCCCCGAACTTAATTTTATGGTTGCAGACAGGTTACTTATAGCTGTTGAAGGTTTCTGAATGCTGAGGAGAAGCAATGCTGTATCACAGTGTTCCTCTGCAGGACAAGTCTGTTGGTTGACGTACTGTGTTGTGCTTGGAAAACACGGTCATTAGGTAAGAATCGTGAACGATCAGTGAGGATATCTGACTGGAGGAACTGCATGAGGACCTCCCATTCCTGGTGTATCCAACTCGGGAAAAGCACATGCAAGTACTTCCAGATTTTACTTCAGTTAGTTACTAAATTAGCCTACAGCTGAGTCATGCAGTCAGTTTTGTTTGTAGCTTATTTGGTTTATAGTTCTAGCATTTTCCTGGACACAGTTTGTCTATTTCTGCAAAAGATTTAAGTCCTACCTTTGGAAGCAACTTCAGTCTAGTGACAAAGTGCATAATTTGAAAGTCATTAAGACTGATGTTCCTGCTGCGCAGACACTTAAGACAGCAGCTTGGGTGCATATACTTGTGTCAGCTTGAATATTAGTGAAGGCTTAAACCTGCCCTGAGGTATTTGCACCACAGTGCTATGGTATTTAGCTGTGAAATGATGCTTCTAGTAAGCTGACTCAGTTCTTGAAGCTGTTGTGGCTACGCTGTGGGCAGTATCCTGCTCCAGTTTAGCCTACATGAGATGAGCTACATAAGCTTCTATGTGCCTAGAGGGA